TGTTGGCGTTTCATTTTGACTATAATGGTAATGTGATGATGATGAATTTTACTATATAAAAGTGTCATTTCCGGCCATCTCGAGAGGTACTATTTCCTCAAATTTTCTCACCTCAGCCCCAGCCATGGTGGGGCTTAGGTGGTTGTGGAATCATGTTTTTGAAGTAGGCCTATGTAAAGTACATAATCAAGGACAATGTTTTTAAGCTTTGTTTTCTATGGTATACACACACACATTAATAAGATCTCTATGGTTGTCGAAAATCCCTGATAAAAGATCATGAGAATTTTTTTTGGCGCTTCATTTTGACTAATGGTGATGTGATGATGATGAATTTTACTAAAAGTGTCATTTCTGGCCATCTAGAGGTACTATTCCCTCAAATTTTCTCACCTCAGCTCCAACCACTGTGGGGCTGGGGTGGGTGTCGATTCACGAAATGCCCTCTCCATCCACCTTTCAAAACAGATCTGTGCCCTTCCCTGGGTATGACATTTAAACTCCATCAAGTCGGCTCCTGATGTATGTCTTAGTGACTGCTGTTTGTTTTTAGGATGTGATCTGGTTTTTCAAGTCCATTTTTCGTGATTATGACTATTCTGGATAAAGAATGTTTTGAGCAGAGGTGGATTCAAGGCACTCCCCCTCCCCCCCTCCTTAATTTTTTTAAGGAAAAAAAAGAAAAATATATTCAAATTGAAGTGCAAGAGTGTAATTTCCGGCCATCTAGAGATGCCCTAATCATGAATTTTCTTACCTCAGCCCTAACCATGGTGGGGCTGAGGTGGGTGGTTCCTCAGTCTATGAAAGTCTCTCCCTTGTTCACCTCTCTTTCGAGTTCCTGGATCTGCCACTGTTGATTTATTTTATAATTATTTTTTCGCTTATTTATAATGCGTCTATTGCAATTTTCACTTTATCCTCTCAAGCAGTCCTAAGAACGTTCAGAGTGCACTACTTCACAGGGCGATTGACCCCGCCGGGGTCATACTTAATTTGCATAACGGCTCCCCCCCACCTTTCAAAATCCAGGCTACATCCCTGCTTGAGGTCACTATGAAAACCTATCCAATTATTGTTGATCTGTCAACTACAGTACAAAAAAAAAGAGCAAAAACTAAAGAAATTTGTGAGTAATCCTGTGAAAGTGCTTGACTGTATATAGGATTAGCATATAATAGGCAAAAGCAAAGTTAGCAAGGATGTCGTTGGTTAAATTTAAATAGGCAATTTAAAACAAGTAGAAGGAAGGTTAATGTATTACTGTAAATAGTTTTTAAGGACACACAAGAAAATAAATAATTACAAAAAAAATGTATGTTATATGTGTGGTTTTCATTTATTTATTGTCATTGGATTAAAATGTAACATCCAATCCATCAGTGAAAATCCAACATTCAAACACTCTTAAATGGCATCTTTGAATTACAATTTTTAATTTTTTTCCGGTGGTCGGGAGGGGGACACCCTCTCCCAAACCCTCCCCCCTCGGGCCGAAGCACCTCATTTTGCGCTTTGCGACATGTTCCTCCGCCTACTTTGAAACCTCCAACTGCTATTCATTTTCAAAATGACACCCCTGCAGATACACGAGTTAAAGACATAAACTAGCAGGGAAAATACAGTGCCCTCACTTGAAAATTTTTTCCTTTATAGAAGCCATGAAATTTCTCCTCCCTAGATCTCTCACTGGTAATAGTATGACATAAATAAATAGGATACCTACCTGTAAAGGCTACTTTTGCCCTGACAGCGTAGATATTGCCTGCGAAGGGATGAGGGGAAAGGTTTGCCTTAAGACAACGTAGTTTGCTGATCAGCTTAGACTTGTCCAATGGCTGACTAAAATGTAGGGCAAATTCACCAATTGAAGGGATGGAAAGTGAAGATGGAATAATACATCTGAGAAAAGTAATGGTCACCTCAATTAGTCCACTCACTGTGTCAACAAAAACTTGTTAAAATAAAATTTATTAGTTTTTAAACAGCTGTCATCAACTTTGTCATTGTTACTGTATACAACCTGTTTCATTTGCACAATTTCATCATGCTCTAATAACCAACTTCACATATTATAATATTATTTTTATCCATCGAAATAAAAGTTTTTGACAAACAGTACCTATCTGGATTATGGTGCCTTGCTCGTATTGCACTAGCTTCCTGGAATGCCGTCTCTGACAAAATTAATTCTGCATCAGGACTTCTATAAACAGACCACAAAACAAAGGTCAGGTTTAAAAAACAGTAATATTGAGCTTATTAACAAATTTAAGTACAGTACACAGATGACTTGCCATTATGTGCCAGAAGACTGACATGTTGATAATAAAACATATATTTTGATAAATGAATATTAACATCGCAATATAATACTGTATACAAATACTGACTGCTAATGAGGGGAATGGTGAAATCTATTGCCCCAAGGTCATGTGGAGTCCGTTGCCTATTTTCCACAGGGCCGAAGGCCTGAGGAAAGATAGGCTACGGTCTCCACATCACAGAGGGGCTGTAGATTTCACAGACCCCGAATCTAGAACAGTCAATATTTGTTTTATATACCTCATACATTGATTCTACGATACCTAAAGAAGTAACGAAAATAGTACACACGAAGTAGGCCTAGACATACTTCTTCCTAGGCCTAGGCAGTCAAAGGAAAAAAATCTCAGAGAGCATCGTAGAGGTCGCATCTCCTTTACCGTTCGTGTGTCTCATAAGTTACATAGCAATGTGGTCTAGAGATTGCACATCGCCCGGCAGGGCAAAAAAGTACTATTTTTAAGGGGAATACTACTTTCTACTGTCCGCTTCTTAACCAATCACATGTCTAGACTATGTATGATGTACATAATAATAAATATAACACTGACCTTGTTAAATCACCATGGTTTGCAATGATGAATGCAACGTTAGTATTGACAGCTCGTATCAATTGTTGAGCTGTTGCTAGATTCGGATCCTAAAACAATAATACCCATTTATTTATCAAACAACTAAATTGGTCCTAAATGAGGAACTATAAAAAAAAAAAAAACTTGGACTAAGCCCTGGGTCATTATCAAACACAGTAAAATTCTTATTTTATAATCTATGTTTTTCTCAGCACATAAAGGCGAATTAAAGGCCGTTTCTATCGTTTTTCCATGATTATGACATCATCTGATGTGATTTGTTAAAATATTTTGTTATCGTATACACGATAAATCGTTATCGAATCGTCCTAGCGTAAAAACCTCTCTTATTTCTTTTGTTTTCTATATGAACAATCGCTTTTTAGCTTATTTATCGTTATAGTTATCGTTGAAGTGTAAACAGGCCTTTAAACAGTGTCGTATAACGCATCCTGACGTGATTCATCATCGGGGACCGTCTTAAGCCGTTGCGAGAAAAATTAAACATGTTTAATATTCTATGACGCAAATGTCCCTAATGCAAATCATTGTGTCTACGTTTAAATCACACACACTGATGCAACAACAAATCATGTCTAAGTTGGCCTTTCAGGTAGCTCTATAACAGGCATGTCATGCCTGCAGCATTTTTTAACATCTTACCTTTGCTTCAGTACTGCTGGTAAACAATACATTATTAACCCAGCCTTCAGCACACTGGTTCAGCAACTTAGGCAAAGTTAATCTGAAAGGATTAATAGTACTGTAAATTTACACCAGTGCAGTACAGTACAGTGCACCCTCCAAGTTGAAACCACTCTAATCCTTAGACCCCTCTCAAGACCACTTTTTCAAAAAACAAACTAACTGTAACAATCTTCAATCTTTTAACAAAAAGCTAACCCTTTATTGGAGATCGAACCCAGAGACTACCCCAAATTTTTTTGTTGCACAGGTGGTCTCGAACTGGAGGGCAAATTTGACAAATATGGTACACATACAATTTTGTCTAGTACATGTAGCCATATTGCCCTACAACACTCAAAGCCCATACAATTGTATCAATTTGACCACCCGCTCCCCCCCCCCCCCTGTTTCATATTAACAGACATGTTCCCTAGTCATTGAATTTATAGACAATTATGCACACTAATAATAATAATAATAATAATATAATAATAATAATAATAATAATAATAATAATAATAATAATATTAACAATAATGTAAATGGTAAAGGGGGGAATTGTTAGTGTGAAAAAAATCACCCCAAATAGGATCCCGACCCAGGATCTTCCCTGGGTCCATGTAGATGCTTTAACCATTTGAGCCACGGGGGATGCACACACGAGATACAGAGATCAATGTGATACACCTTTTCTTAGGCATCTTAAACAACAAGACACAATCTCTAAAGTCATTTTTAAAATTAAGTTTTGTTGTACGTAAAGAGATTAACTCTAAACCATCAAGCGATAATACAAATAAATACAAATACTCGCTGATGGCAATCTGCAAATTACACAAGGTAAAATACAAATTGAAGAAATATAGAAATAAATAAATATAAATAAATAAATAAATAAATAAGTTTATAATAATATATATAAATTTGGGAAATCCCTCGGGAAAGATAAAAAAAAATTAAAAAAACAACAGAGAAACTCATATCAACAATAAAAACACATATCAACAATAAAAACACAAGTTATTATTATTGTACTTATTTTTATTAATATTATCACTATAATAACAAACAAGAAAAAAAAAATCATTATTATTAAAAAAAATTAACAATACAATTAATTTACAACACAACCAGACAAATATAAAAATTCATGCAATTTTGATGTCAGAGTGGCGTACAGAAATTATAGGTATTTACCATTCCTTGAACACACCGGTGAAAGTAATAAATTCATAGTTCGCTGGGTGTTGACTTAGGACAAGGATAACTTATTGTCACGTCTGAGGTTATATGGAGTATTATGAATTTTGGGTAAGAGGTGGTGAAGTCTGTGAGTAGGTGACTTCAGTTTAATAAAGTATTGTTGGCATAAATGTGTACGCCGCTCTGACATCAAAGGGATCCCAGCAGCAGCTTGGGGCCAGTCATAATCAGCCCCATGGGAAGACAACCCCCAAATCACGTCTTTGAATGCGTTCAAGTTGTTTAGATTGCTCATTTGTGATACACTATACCCGAAGGAGGGACAGCATATTCAAGAGCCAGACATATAACACTTAAATAGTAATAGATTTGTCCTGCTACACAGAGACCAGATTTACACAAGCACTTAAGAAAATATAATCGGGTGATTCCTTTGTTATCATTCCATCAACTTGGTTTTGCCAAGATAAATCGGAAGACATATAAACTCCAAGTAACGGTCACTTTACGTTTTCAATGCTTTCGTCTTTTTACAACTCACCAACATTTAAATTCTTGTGTCTTTTTGGTATTAATAACCATATGGTTTTCATCAGTCCATCTGGTAGCCATATCAAGGAGTGCCTGGAGCCCACTAGTCCGGTCCTTGTTATTGCACTCGAAGACAGTCGTGTCATCCGTATATTTGATGCAAGACACTCCTGTCATGAGATCATTAACAAAGACCATGAATAGTATAGGACCCAGCCACGACCCCTGAGGGATTCCTCCATTTAAAGGCACCCAACTTGAGAAAGTAGAACTGAGCTTGACCCTTGCATTCTATTATGTAAAAAGGATTCCACCCATTTGACTAAATTACACTCTATGCTGAGGTTTCTCAGTTTCCTAACAAGAACATTGTGATCCACTAGATCATATGCCTTCCTGAAGTCGAGAAGAAGTACTCTAACTTCTTGTCGGACATACAACACAATACGACATTCATGTAGGAGTTCAGTCAACGCGTCAACAATTGAAACACCTTTCTGCTGTTAATGACTGAAAAAACATATTAATATCATTAGCAAGAAGGGGGACACTACCCTCACATAATTCATTGGCTAATCCTTTAAAAAAGTTACTATTGGCCCTGTCCAAGTTTAGGAACTGTTTTACACCCACCCACCACAATTTACTATCCGTGTTCCAAATTTATCTTGTAGTGTTTTTTTCGGAGGGTTGTAGAAAGACGATTTACTTTCTGCCATAACTGGCGGTATTCATCTGATTTAGGATCTCTACTAAACACATTTTGACAAGCTCTAGTAGTTTTCTTATATGCACTTGTGACCCATGGCTTATCCCTATTATCTTTACTGAAAGGTAACTACTGGAAAATGCATGTTCATCAGTCTTTGAACATTATCGTTGTAAAAATTAAATTGACTAGTACAGTCGGTACATTTCTTGCCATCTAATGCTACTAAGATCATTTGCAAAACATTCTTTAGGTTAACTAGTCATTTATTTATGGTAACACTGGTATCAGAGATCATAGCTGATATACACATATTGGATTCCAAAGGATGACACTGTAATCAGAAAGCCCCAATGGGGGTCGAATCTGCGGTTCATAGTAGAAATTACTCAGAGATGTATAAATTAGATCCAATATGGCTTCTGCTCTTGTGGGTTTTTTGACTACCTGCTTAAGAGGATATTTACTTAGCTGGTAGTCCTTCATTCGATTGAAATCCCCCAAAACAACAAAATTGGTATTTGTATGTTTTCTACATACACAATCCATCCTTTGAGTAATGTGACATGTCATGTTCCAGTCGATATTACCTGGGGGATGGAACACCAACTGTTATATTGGATATCTCGCACGGAAGTCTCTTGGGACGGAGTGAGATCCATAAACTTTCAATTGATTCGTCACTTAAATCGGTCCACCCATTAAAGGGTATGTCTTCACCTACATAAATACAAATTCCACCACACGACTTATCAATATGGTCACGGCGGATTAATTTGTATCCTTCCAAGGAAACTAAGTTATCTGCTAAGTAAGGTTTGAGGTGTGTCTGTGTTATCGCAATAATATCTGAGCTAACCTCCTTTACTCTAAGTGGTAGCTCATTCATCTTGTTTGTCAACGATCTGGCGTTGGTAAGAAAAGACTGTCCATTTTCCAGATACTAAAACCACTAGGTTAGTTAGCTTTGGGCGTTGGCTGCCTATTTGATTGTTTAGTATCCGACGAAATTCGAACAGGTGTTGGCCTATTTATAAATTTACTGGCACGGCATCCTCTTATTTTTAGTCTAAAATAGTTAGAATCATTAGCATTGAAAACAGTATTACCTGGCTTCTTTGAAGCTTGCAATGAAAAACACATTTCAAAATCTTGTACAGGCAATAGCAAAGGAACAATGACAATATACAAATAAGCAGGTGTAGGCATTCTTGGCCTTAGCTCGAGTCAACACTTTGTGTGAAAAAAAAAAACCAAACAATAGCTCTGGGTGGTGTACACTATTGTGGGACGAAGTCAACTGCAAAACAGGCTAGTGAGGATCAGCAAAAATCATTAAAAGAACCAAGCTCAAACTACACATTGTCACAGAACTGGACTAAATCATCACTAAATAAAACAGTTTCACAACACAAAACAGATTATCTTAACCGAGGAAAAACCCAAACGTTCAGATGAAACAATCCTTCTCTGAGAAGCCAACTTGTTCTTATTAGTATAGCACATAACGTCTTCTTCGATAATTTATATATGCCTTTTAATACCATGTAAAAAAAGGGCAGACAAGTTGAATTTTTAGTACTGACCTGTTGGTGATAAACATATTGAGAGGGTCAACGCAAGTTGTGACGGCACCAATGCTCAACTGTCCAGCAATGGCTGGGTCAGGGTGATGCTCTATGGCATGCACTGCTTTTGGTAGGTCTACAAACCTAAAATAAAAACACATAGAAAAATACATTAATGCAACATAACCATTTAACTTAAAGCAGTGAATGCAAGCAGTACATACTCGAACAGACAAGCCAATTGTGAGTGACTCAAAATTTTGATGTTTAAGTACACAGATGAACAGTATACAAGCCCTTAATTTGATCATCTTCATTCTATATTTCGCTATCTTAATCTTACCAGTGGACCTACTGGTTTTTGGCAATCAGTGAAAGTACCTACCCAGGTGGTATATACAGAATTCTTAGTCTCTTCTTTCCTCCAATGCTAGCTCTAATTCCTCGCTTCTTTGCAGCTGCTACTGTGCTACTTAATGATGCTTGAAGCTCCTTCGCATCAAACTCATCACGACTCTCAAAAGGTGCCTTCAATGTCACCCACCTGGACATAAAACATTCAATCATACAATGCTAAAAATAATTACTTTGAATAGTGATTAAACATTACATTATTTATTAATATAAATAATTATTTATTTATATAACATGAATTCTTATGAAAAATCCCATGTATGCAGTAAACTTGCTTCACAAATATGGTATGTATGCAATGTACTCTAGTAGCCAGACCAGGTTTTGTATGCACTTTGAGGTCCAGAGAATTTGAAATTGGTTTATAGGGTGGTCCAAGAATCATTTTTGGCTTGGTAACACATTTTCAAAATGTGGCAAAAGGTCAAAGGGTCAGGGTCAAATGTCTTAGCTATATGGTAGTCATATCTCCGCAACCACTGCTGGTAGAGAGTTAAATTTGGTGCCTATTTGTTCACAACATTCATGTTTCTATTTGCTCTAATAGAACATTTTGCTAAAAACTGATCTGAAATGCCATTTCTAACCTTTGACACGTTTCAAGGTCATAGCAATAGGGTCATTATATCTCTGCAACCACTGGTGGTAAAGAGGTAATTGTGGTGTCAAGATATTCGGAACATTAATGTTTCTATTTGGTCTAATAGAAAAGTTTGCTAGAAAATGACTGGAAATGCTGTTTTTGACCTTTGACATGTTTTAAATATCATAGTTATTGAGTCCTTATTTATTATTAATAGGTCCATGATTGGACCATGTTTATTTATTTCTTCCATGATTGTACCATGGACCTATTAATATTGGACCAAAGATGCAGGGGCCAACTTTTCAGGATGAAATTTGATTCATCGCGGGAATATTTCGGGTGGCCAGCTGCTTCGAGGAGGAGCTGGTCTTATTTCTAGGTAAATGTGCATTATCTGATTTGTAGTGAACGGTAATCAACGTTCTATTAATGTATTGTTTTGTTGTAAAACTGTATTATGCAATGGCAAAATAATAGTACGAAGTTCAAAATACGTTTTATCGACCGGTCGGTATCCAGGCCTCTCCTAATTTATTTTAGTTAGGCCTAGGCTAGGCCCTGGGGTAGGGCCTGGCCCACTGACTGTAGGCTACCCTGGGCCCTAGGCCATTAGTTAGATTAAATACAGGCCTAGCTTGGGCAGGTCTACTAAATACTAACCCTTGATACAGTGGAAGGATAGCTTCACTTTGTGTGTAATGTTAGGCTATAAAGAAGAATTATGCTCATCATATTACTCAATTAATGACTTCAAATTTAATTTCACAAGCAGTAGTAGTAGTAGGCTAGGTCTAGGAGGCCTAGGTTATGCCTACTTATATTGTGGTTAATGACCCAATTAATTGGATGGTACTGTATATTCGATGCAATACAGTAATTATAGTAATATTATTTATTTTAAAAAAATGTCTTTCAACTATTTCATATTTTGATTATAATTATGTTTTACAGATAAACTGCATTTTGAAGAAATAGTCTGGAAGATTTTGATGCTATGATATTTTTGCATGTTCAAGAACAATTTGGGGTATATAATTGAGTTAATGTTTTCATTTCATTTCATTTCATTTCATTATTTATTTGGTCATTTACAACAACAACAACAACAAAAAAAAGCTGAAATTTGGGGAGACCAGGGACAACCAGAGTGAACCAAATCACTGTAGCAAAGCCGGTTTACCCAACCCCAAATTCAGCAACACATTAAAAAATCAAACATTACAGCGAATCAAAATACAAAGAAACCTTACAAAGAAAAGAGGATGGGCTTTCTAAAACTGCAGCATCGGTTAACAATCTAGGGAGCTGGTCCCAAACAAGAGGCAACCTGATGGCTACCGAGTTGAAAAATGCTTGGGTCCTTGATGCTTGGTGATGGAAACACAAGCGATCATTATGTCTGGTATTGATTTTGATACCATCATAAACCGTGCTGCAGCTTAGAAGG